TTTTTTTTTTTCTTTTCCCAGAACACCAACCGGCCGAGAAAACTGGAACGAAGAGGAGAAGCTGTGATGCAGGAACATCTAGCGTAAAGCTGAGAGGTGAGATGGTGCGGAGACTGGTAGGTTGTATCTTTCCATGTGCTGCTTTCAAGGGTCATAGGGAAAAAAGATTGCCAAGGAGATAAAGCCCGGGGTGTTGACGTCACCTGGTATCGGTGGAGCCACGTAGCCACCAGCCATTAATGGGAAGGCTAGCATGCGGCACTGTTGTCTTTCCTGCGGAGTTAGACGTGCGGCGTCCCCCGTTTGCAGTTCAGTCAGAGCCCGTGTGGGACTGTCCTGGCACCGGCCGGGGTGGACCCGAGAGCCGTGCCATTCCTGCTGGGCTGTCGCAGCATCCCTCTCAGAACAGGGCCTCAGCAGAGCTCCTGGTGAGAGAGAGAGAGAGAGACAGAGAGACAGAGAGAGACAGAGAGACAGAGACGGAATTGCACTCAAGAGACAGGGGCAGTTTTTTTTCTGTAGCTCCGATGAGCACGTATGCTCCTGATGTTTATTTTGAGATCTCTTTCTCAGGAAGATTGATTTGAGTCCAGTTGCCAGGTTCCTTTGAAGGTTCATATTGGTAGGTGGCGCCCTCTAGCTCCCAGAAGCTTTACTCTCTGGAGCTGCTCAGCCCTTGGGGGGATGGCAGGGTTTCACCAGGGGAGTGGTGCCGGTGCCCTCCCCCTGCCGGGAGGAAAGAGGTCTTTCCTGCTCCCCGGCCGCACTGCCCGTCTCCACTGCCAGGGCCAGTTTGCGGAGCACGCAGGGAGAAGCTGCCGTAGGTGGGGGGGGCGGCCGTTTTGCAGGCCGGTGCCGGCGGGGAGGCAGGCCGTGTATCAGTCGCAGCACGGTAGGGGGCCTCGGAGCTGCGAGGCCAGCCGGGGGACGGAGCGCCCGGAGCTCCTGAATGTTCCCCCGCCTGCCGGGCAGAGTGCACCCGGGCAGTTTGGCGCACCTGTCCTTTCTCCTGAGCGGCAAGCTGTGTGGAAGCATTGCTCTCTCTCGCTGTTGGGAAGTCTCTCAGACTGCCCGCCTTTCTTTTGTCCCACAGCGGCCGGATGTGGATCCCTGTGTTGTCCCACAAGTGGCCGGCATCGCAAGTCTCTCGAAGTCTTCCGCCTGTCTTCGCTTTCCGACCCCACCGATCCTGCGGAGCGCACCACGTGTACGGTAGGTTCGCGCTCCCAGAGCACATCTCATCTCCAGGGCTGGGTGTTTGGCAGTCCTAGGCCTCCACCCACCTCCCCGGTTCCGTTTCTCGTCCTCCCCCTCCCCCACCCGCACCCCCCGTGAGCTCGGGTGCGGGAAGGGCTTTGGGGTCCCTCTGGGTCACAGGCTTTTTGGTACGTCACCCTTCTCCTTGAGGTGACAGCCTGCCGCAGCAGCCTCCTGCCCTGCTGCTGCTCTTCCAGGATTTGGTGTAGTTGTTTTACTTCCATATTGTTACCTATGTATGTGGTTCTGGTTTTGGGAGGAGGTTTCCGCCTCCCTTCTCACCTGAGCCGCCGTCTTTAATCCCATTGACCCATCCTTTGGTTTTTTTTTCAGTTTCACTTGTGTAGGGTACCTTTCCCCCCACCTTCAGCTTGTAGATTGTCTGTGTCCTTGGATCTCAAGTGAGTCTCCTGGAAGGGAGCACGTAGGTGGTCTTGAGTTTTCATCCCTTCCTTTAACCCTGTGTCTTTTGACTGGCGCATTTAACGCCTGTCCTTGTATTCTGACCATTGAGAGCTGTGTCCCTGTTGCACTTAAAAAAATTTTTTTTGTTGTTATAATTAATCTACAATTACATGAAGAACATTATGTTTACTAGGCTCCCCACTTCAAGACCCACCCACAAACCCCATTACAGTCACTGTCCATCAGCGTAGTTAGTTTCTGTAGACTCACTACTTGTCTTCTCTGTGTTGTACAGTCCTCCGCGTGCCCCCCTCCACCATTATACTTGCTAATTGTAATACCCCCTTTCTTTTTCCCCACCCTTATCCCTCCCTTCCCACCCACCCTCCTCATTCCCTTTCCCTTCAGTAACTGTTAGTCCATTCTTGGGTTCTGTGAGTCTGCTGCTGTTTTGTTCCTTCAGTTTTTCTTTGTTGTTATACTCCACATATGAGTGAAATCATTTGGTACTTGTCTTTCTCCACCTGGCTTATTTCACTGAGCATAATACCCTCTAGCTCCATCCATGTTGTTGCAAATGTTAGGATTTGTTTTCTTCTTATGTCTGAATTGTATTCCTTTGTGTATATGTACCACCTCTTCTTTATCCATTCATCTCCTGATGGACAGTTAGGTTGCTTCCATTTCTTGGCTTTTGTAAATAGTGCTGTGAGAAACATAGGGGCGCATCTGTGTTTTTCTAACTGGACTCCTGCATTCTTAGGGTTAATTCGTAGGAGTGGAATCCTTGAGTCAAACCGTATTTGTACTTTTTTGTTTTTTGTGAAACCTCCATACTGCTTTCCACAATGGTTGAACTGATTTACATTCCCACCAGCAGTGTCTAAGGGTTCCCCTTTCTCCACATCCTCACCAACATCTGTTGTTGTGTGTCTTCCGCATAGTGGCTATTGTGTCTACTGTGATTTGATAATGCATTGTGGTTTTAATTTGCATTTCTCTGATGATTCGCGATGTGGAGTATCTTTTCTTTTTTCTTTTTATTTCTTTGAGTTTATTCTTCTCAGTTCATTGTTTTTCTGATTTGCTTTTACTTTCCTCATTCCTATTTCTTTCTTTTTTTAAACCTTTTATTAACATGATTGATATACACTCCTATGCAGGTTTCACATGAAAAAACAGTGTGGTTACTACATTTACCCGTATATCAATTCCCTACTCATACCCCAGTGAAGTCACTGTCCATCAGTGCAGCAAGTTGCCAAAGAATCACTATGTCCCTTCTCTGTTATACAGTATTCTCCCCGTGATCCCCCACAGCATATCTACTAAACATTATACCCCCTCAGTCCCCTTCTCCCTCCCTCCCCACCCGTCCTCCCACACCCCCCTCTGCTTTGGTAACTACTGGTTCATTCTTGATGTCTCTGAGTCTGCTGCTATTTTGTTCCTTCAGTTGTGCTTCATTGTTATAGCCCACAAATTAGGGAAATCATTTGACATTTGTCTTTCTTCGCCTGGCTTATCTCACTGAGCATAATGTCCTCCAGCTCCATCCATGTTGTTGCAAATGGTAGGATTTGTTTCTTTCTTATGGCTGAATAGTATTCCTTTGTATATATGTAACACATCTTTATCCATTCATCTGCAGATGGACACTTAGGTTGCTTCCATATCTTGGCTATTGTAAAAAGTGCTATGATGAACATAGGGGTGCATATGTCTTTTTGAATCTGAGAAGTTTTATTATTTGGGTACATTCCAAGAAGTGGGATTCCGGGATCAAATGGTATTTCTAGTTTTAGTTTTTTGAGGAACCTCCATATTGCTTTCCACAATGATTGAACTAGCTTACCTTCCCACCAGCAGTGTAGGAGGGTTTCCCTTTCTCCGCATCCTGGCCAACATTTGTTGTTCTTAGTCTTTTGGATGGTAGCCATCCTTACTGGTGTGAGGTGATACCTCATTGCAGTGTTAATTTGCATTTCCCTGATGATTAGTGATGTGGAGCATCTTTTCATGTGCTTGTTGGCCATCTGAATTTCTTCTTTAGAGAACTGTCTCTTCATATCCTCTGCCCATTTGTTAATCGGGTTATTTGCTTTTTGGGTGTTGAGGTGTGTAAGTTATTTACATATTTTGGATGTTAACCCCTTGTGATATATGTCATTTACAAATATAGTCTCCCATACTGTAGGATGCCTTTTTGTTTTGTTGATCTCCTTTGCCGTACCAGAAACTTTTTAGTTTGGTCTAGTCCCATGAGTTAATTTTTGCTTTTGTTTGCCTTTCTCGAGGAGGTGGGTTCAGGAAGAAGTTGCTCATGCTTATATTCAGGAGATGTTTGCCTATGTTGTCTTCTAAGAGTTTTATGGTTTCATGACTTATATTCAAGTCTTTAATCCATTTCAAGTTAACTTTTGTGTATGGGCTTAACCAATAATCAAGTTTCATTCTCTTGCATGCAGCTGTCCAGTTTTGCCCACAGCAGCTGTTGAAGAGGCTGTCATTTCCCTATTGTATGTCCATGGCTCCTTTATCATATATTAATAGGCTCTCTAGTCTGTTCCATTGGTCTATGGGTCTGTTCTTGTGCCAGTACCAAATTGTCTTGATTACTATCGCTTTGTAGTAGAGCTTGAAGTTGGGGAGTGTAATTCCCCCTGCTTTATTCTTCCTTCTCAGGATTGCTTTGGCTATTCGAGGTCTTTTGTGGTTCCATATAAATTATAGGACGATTTTCTGTAGTTCATTGAAGAATGCTGTTGGTATTTTTATAGGAATTGCATTGAATCTATAGATTGCTTTAGGCAGGATGGCCATTTTGTCAATATTAATTCTTCCTATCCATGAGCACGGAATGTGTTTCCAATTATTAGTATCTTCTGTAATTTCTCTCATGAGTGTCCTGTAGTTTTCAGAGTGTAGGTCTTTTACTTCCGTGGTTAAGTTTATTCCTGTGTATTTTATTTTTTTTCATGCAATTGTGAATGGAATTGTTTTCCTGGTTTCTCTCTCTACTTGTTCATTGTTAGTATATCGGAATGCCAGATTTCTTTGTATTAATTTTTTATCCTGCAACTTTGCTGAATTCAGATATTAGATCTAGGAGTTTTGGAGTAGATTCTTTAGGGTTTTTTTATGTACAATATCATGTCATCTGCAAGCAGGGACAGTTTAATTTCTTCCTTTCCAATCTGGATGCCTTTTATTTCTTTTTGTTTTCTGATTGCCGTGGCCAGGACCTCCAGTACTATGTTGAATAGAAGTGGGGAGAGCGGGCATCCTTGTGTTTTTCCCAATCTTAAAGGAAAAGCTTTCAGCTTCTTGGTGTTAAGTATAATGTTGGCTGTGGTTTTGTCATATTTGCCCTTTATTATGTTGAGGTACTTGTTCTCTATACCCATTTTGTTGAGAGTTTTTATCATGAATGGATGTTGAATTTTGTCAAATGCTTTTTCAGCGTCTATGGAGATGGTTAAGTGGTTTTTGTCCTTTTTGTTGATGTGGATGGTGTTGATGGATTTTCAAATGTTGTACCATCCTTGCATCCCTGGCATAAATCCAGGTTGATCATGATGGACGATCTTTTTGATGTATTTTTGAATTCAGTTTGCTATTATGTTGAGTATTTTTGCATCTATGTTTATCAGGGATATTGGTCTGTAGTTTTCTTTTTTTGTGTTGTCTTTGCATTGGGTTTTGGTATTAGAGTGATGCTGGCCTTATAAAATGAGTTTGGAAGTATTCCCTCTTCTATTTTTTGGAAAACTTTAAGAATGGGTATTAGGTCTTCACTACATGTTTGATAAAATTCAGTGGTGAATCCATCTGGTCCAGAAGTTTTGTTCTTAAGTAGGTTTTTGATTACCAGTTCAATTTCATTGCTGGTAATTGGTCTGTTCAGATTTTCTGTTTCTTCCTTGGTCAGCCTTGGAAGGTTGTATTTTTCTAGAAAGTTATCCATTTCTTCCATGTTGTACAGTTTGTTAGCATATTATTTTTCATAGTATTCTCTAATAATTCTTTGTATTTCTGTGGTATCTGTAGTGATTTTTCCTTTCTCATTTCTGATTCTGTTTATGTGTGTAGACTCTCTTTTTTTCTTGATAAGTGCTTGGGGTTTATCTATTTTGTTTATTTTCTCTAAGAACCATCTCTTGCTTTCGTTGATTCTTTCTATTGTTTTATTCTTATCAATTTTATTTATTTCTGGCTTAATCTTTAGTATGTCCCTCCTTCTACTGACTTTGGACCTCATTTGTTCTTTTTCTAGTTTCATTTAATTGTGAGTTCAAACTGCTTATATGGGATTGTTCTTCTTTCTTGTGATTGGCCTGTGTTGCAGTATACTTTCCTCTTAGCATAGCCTTGGCTGCTTCCCACAGATTTTGTGGTGTCAAATTATTGTTGTCACTTGTCTCCATATATTGCTTGATCTGTGTTTTTATTTGGTCATTGATCTGTTGGTTATTTAGGAGCATGTTTTGAAGCTTCCATGTGTTTGTGGGATTTTTCATTTTGTTTGCGTAACATTTCTATTTTCATAG